CCCCAAAACCCCAAAACCCCAATCAACTTTTCTGAATCAAATTTAAAATTTAATCAAATAGAAAAGCTAAATTCTTTATTAGTATTGAGATAGCACTTAGGCGAAAAGGAGATTGTAAAAATATAATCAAGTTATAATAAAATGGAAACTTTAGTGTCTCTAAAAATTTAAGATACAGCTATTAGATATAATATACTATAATAGATAGGATCTGGAGGTCAAGGAGCTGTTTACTTGGCTGAAGATCTTAAAGACCCAGACTTGAGATTCGTTGCATTAAAGTAACAAGAATTAGACTTAATGCTAGGAAGGATTAAGAATTCTATCCTTAGACAACATTAGTGCTTATACTGCTAACTATGCACTCGCTGTAAACACTGCCAAAAATGCGATTCTTGCAAGCATAAACCACACACAATACATTAATCTAAACAATTAGAAGAATCAGCACATGAAGCAAAAGGGTTACTATCCAGAGAACTGCTTAGGCTTTTAAGAGAAATTTCATCGATTCAGCTAAAACATCTGAATATTGTCACCATTTATGAATCATACATCTCAACTGATAACAAATTCATAATCATAAGTGAATTTGCTCCACAAGACCTAGAAAAATTTGTGGAGAGACGATTCCAAATTCAGTAGCAATTGACTAATCACGAGATCTCAATGATTCTTCTTCAAATATTAAATGGCCTTGAGTACATTCATGCATAAAACTTCATACATAGAGATATCTCTCCTTAAAATATCCTAGTTTTCAAAGATCAAATTATCAAAATTTGTGATTTTGGGTTTGTATCTTATGGGGACTAAACTAATGCTAATATTGGAAAATAAGAATATATGGCCCCTGAAGTGAATTATGGAAATTAGAATTACAACAATGCTATTGATATATGGTCACTTGGAATAACTCTGTATTACATTTGCACAGGCTCAATAATCTTTAAAGGAGAATCAGTTAATTATCTTGCCAAAGATTAGAAACGTATTGAATTGCCAGCTGAGCACTCATAATTTTAGGAGATGCTTGAATAAATGATATAAATTAATCCTGATAATAGACCAACAGCTACCCAACTTAAAGAAGATTTAATGAAATTTATAGATGAAAACAACTCAGATTTAAAAAAGTATAAAAATTTGCTTTTGCTACATTTAACTAATTAACACAAAGTTATTATTTCAAAGCAAGGTGAAATTTATGAAAAATAAATCTAAAGATATTTCAAATAAGAAACCATTAGATAAGAAGCTACTTCTCATGAAGGTATTCCGAATTTGCTAAAACAAATTGATAGTTTATAGCTATAGACAAGATCTTATTTGATTAATGATGAAGAAGAGAAGGCTAGCATAAGTTCTGTTTATTATTTATAGAATAAAATCTAGCAATGGAATAAATATGACTTGGCTTAGCATTCATTTAATCCTGTGATTCAAAAAACATATCAATAAAAAACTTAAAAAAGATTAGGGAAATTCCAAAGGATAATTAAAGTAGGAGATAAATATTTGACAGCTCATTATTATGGTCGAAACTGTAGAGTATTAGACAAAAATCTAAAACTTATCACAAAATTAGATTAAAAGGTAACTTTTCTTCATGAACAGAATGGCAATGCATTGCTCTGTTATAAAAAGAAAATAAGTAAACTAATAAAGTTAGATAAATAATACCCATAAGTTTAAAGTGATATTTACTAGAGTAGTTGAATAATTATTAAAATATTAAAGATGAGTGACGATATCTTCATCACTGGATAATGGGATGGATATATTGAGTTATTTAGTATTTCAAACCACTAGTTCAAATCAACATTCTAAACTCAAGATAAAAAAAATATTATAGAAATTTGTTTGATTGAAAGCAGCAAAGATGAGTACACATTTGCCTTTGGGGATTTTGATCTAGGTATTATAATAGGTAAAATAATAATGAGAAACTAATTTGAATATGAATTCTAAGAGGATAAAATTAAATTGATAGAGGATGTTAGTTGTCATTCAATGATGTTAATAAAGTAGAATGTCATAGCTGCTTTTGTTAGAAACTAAGATGATGAATATTAATTAAAGATATTAGACATCAAATCAAGATAAGAATTACATACTATTGATTTAAATGAGAGTACATATATCTATCCAGCATTAGCTTATGACTATATTCAATATCCTTTTGCATTTATTAAAGATCAAAACAACATTTCACTTATAAATACTAATAACTATCAAATCACTACTATCATTCAGTGTTATTGTAGTTTTTCTGAATAGCAATTGATACAATACAGAGATCAGGATAATAAATATAAATTAATTGACATTTAGATGTATGAGACAGATGAAGATTCATATGAGTATCTCAATGAAATAAGAGAAACCGAGATCAGCATGCTTTGAAAATATCTATAAAATTATAAAATAGTATATTATAATTTATTAGGTTATATATATTTTAATTCACCTTTACTTTTTATTGCACAAATCTATAAGCACGGGGTTTTGGGGTTTTGGGGTTTTGGGGTTTTGGGG